CGGTCGACCACGGGACGTGGCCCCGCCCGGGCCGTCGGCGACTCGACGCGGCCGTCCCGACGCGGTCGCGCGTAATCCCGATCAGCACCACCGTGCGCGCGTAGCGGGTCATGCGCGCCTTCATGTCCGCCCCCGACGTCCACGGACAGTTGGCCGCGAAAATGGCTGCGGGGACCACGGAGTGCAGTCAGCGAGGGGAGGACGAGGGGCGACTGACCCGTGCACTCTCTCGAAGAACTTGAAAAAGCTTTCGAAGTCAAGCCGCGTGGAAAGATAGCTAATCGCCACTAGTCATGTTGTCGGGTTATTGTGGTTCTCCTGCCGTCTTTTCCAATGCGGTGCACATTTTGGACTAAGAGAACTGTACGAACCGCGGTGTAGGAAGGAACAGCCCAGAAAACTCGCGGCCAACTTCTCCCCCACGAGCATTAGGAAAGTGGGATGCTCACAGCCCTCGCGGAGCATTTCGGTGTGGAGCATCGCATGAGCACGCAGGGCGCAGACTGACCGGGGTGGGCGGAGGCGGTCATGAGCAGGGCCCCATAGCCGGTGGTGTTCCACTGTGCGACGTGCCGGCTGAAGGCCGTCATGATGCCGCCCTCGTACATGCGCCCGGGGGGGCCCTCCCCTGCACAAGCCAATCGCGCAGGTGAATGCTCAGCATGCGAATCATTAGACATCGACGCAATGAGCGTGCGCAGAAATCGCGCTGAGGGAGTGCAATCCAAGCCTGGCCGCCACTGCTTTCTGCTAGACAGACAGCCGGTATGACACGCAGGTCAAGAAGGCATTAACGCGGTGCAAAAGGATCGAGGAGATGAAGAGCCGACGGAATGTTCCGCTCTAAGCATGCCCGGGAAAAAACGACTTCATGATCGGTGTCCCAGCGATGAAGGAAGCCGGCTCTCACCTTCCGGGAAGTAGCCCCACACCAGCGACACGGGGTGCACATGCAGATGCTGTCCGATGTTGGAGTTCTCGAGCCCGCTGCAAGTAAGGGCCGTTGCCTGTTGAGTATGTCCCAATATGACTTGAAAGCCGACTTCCCGCTTTCCAGTTTTGGCTGCGCAAAAAGGTAACTTCGATACCTTGAATTCGATTGACCTCCGAAGTGAACGTGCGCCCAGGAGCATCTCGAACTTTTTCCCGCTGTCAAGCAGGGGCGTAGATGAAAGGATTTGCGGGTTGCCAGGGCACGACCTAGGCGGTAATTGCCTTCGAACTTGCACAGCCAGTTCTCGGCAAGAACCTTCTTTCGATTCTGCGCTATGGAACAAACAGGGTATAACCAGATTGTCGCTCCGCAACTGGCGGCCCCTGATTCGACAGGGACGTTGCGCCCCGTACCTCCTGAGCAGCAGTGGCGGCGTGTGGAGGGACCCCGCTGCCGCCACCGTGACCCGGGCCTCCACTACGAGCCGCCGCCCCCCCCCTGTTGTGGCGACCACGCCCCGCGCCCTGTGCTGTCGCGCGGAGAGGGGGTCCGGGTTGGGCTCCACCAGAATGCGGTCGGCATGCACGCCCGCCAGGATGAGGGCGCCCGCGCGCACGGCGTCCACCAGCCACGTCTCGGTCGTGGCCTGACATGGCAACGGCGCAGCGTTAGCAATCAGAACCTGCCTTAGTGGGTCTGAGAGCTAGGTGAGCAAGCAATAGCTTGAAACATCTAAGATTTGATTGTCGAAGAACCGGGGAAGAACGCCGAAACCTGAAAGTGGTTTGACAGTCTGACAGTCGAAACCTGACATCCCGCCAACACTGGCGCGGGCATCGATACGAGCGAGTGCAGCCCCAGCAGTATTGACAAAGGGAGGACACATTGAAAGCAGAGCTACTTCATTTGATGAGCCAATTATCCTGGAAAAGACGGGCAACAAAATGCCGTCAAGCGAGAACTAGATTGGCAGAGATGTGGTTCGGGCCGCTCCACTTCCACAGCGTTCATATACAAGAACACTGCACTTGGAGGGACTAGCTTGACAACCGAAGGCCCAGCGAAACCCTCTAGGAAAAAGTGAGGACGTGCTGCCGTTTCACCATGGCTCTGAGAAAGTAACAATGAATGAAGGGTTTGACGTAGAAGATATGAGGAGTTTCAAAGTGTTAAGATGAAGTTCAAAGCTCGGCTCAACCAGCCAAAGGGTTATGAACAACGTACGAGCAGGGGGAAAACCAGTAGAGTCTCACAAAATGTAGGGTTTGGATGCAGGACAAATAAATTACGGGGTTCCGGGGAATCGTGAAGATTGACTCGTCGAAAGGCGTGTTTGCACAATCGCCCTTTCCCTTTCCCGCAAGGGAGCGCACATGAGTTGCGAGCTTCACCGCAGCTCTCCAGCGGCTCACAGGCCTGGTGGTAGGGCTCCAGGGCGAGCTTCGACAGGTACAGGCAGCTCGGGGAGCGTGAGCTGGACGAGACTGTACCTGTCGTGGCTGCGGCTGTACCTGGTGCTGCTGATGCTGAAATGACCCTTGGAGCGCTTTGACAAACCACTATAACCACTTGATTTGCCATCGAGTCTTGCAACACTCCGGGCTGACAACTTCCACCACCGTAGGATGTTTGTAAACCAGAGTTCGTTCGCCCACCTTCTTCCCCCCGCTCGCGCACCCCATATGGCACCAGCCGCACTCATGGGCGTCCTCCACGTTGCGCGGCACCACCCCGCAATCGTACCCCAGTGCGGCGCACCCCCTGCGCAGCACCTCGTTCTGCAGATTGTGTACCACGTGCTCCGCCTGCACCCCCCCGCGGACGCACACCGCCTCCATTGCCTCCTCATACTCAGCCCCCCCGTATTTAGTCAGGCCCAGGTCCTGGCTCCACTCCCGCGTTACATGGGGTTGAGTCTTGAACGACGCGGCCCAGTTGATGGCGGAGCCCCCCCCCACGGTCGACCCCGCCAAGAGCGCCACCCCCCCGTCGACGGTACCGAAGAGCCCCCCCTTTTCGTACATGGCCTCCAGCGTCGGCAGCTCCGTGAGGGGGAGATCATTGCGTGCCAGGTAGTGTCCTTTTTCGAGCACCAGCACCTTGTGCCCCCCCTGCGCCAGCCGCCCTGCCACCACGCCCCCCCCGGACCCAGACCCCACCACAACCACGTCGCACTGGACGGTGATGTCAGAGGAGGCCGCCGCCTGCGATGCCTCAAAGCCGCGGCTTCGCAGGGTCTGAACCACGTCCTCTCCTGCAGACAGGGGCGATTGCAAGAACTTAGCAGGCAAGAGGCATCTGCGCTGGTTGCAGTGAAAGGGGGGTAATTTGCAGCTCCGTATGAAGTGACAGGACGACAAGCATGACACTATCCTCTATTTGGTCTAGCTTTTCAGAGAAGCGCAGGCGCCTCTACCTTAACCACCAAACTTGCTTCGACGTTAGCCTCTTCCTTGTGCGGCGCTCACCTGTGTCTCCCCGGAGGTCGAGCACCGCATCCTCGAGGGGCCGTCGAGCCGCCTCGCTGCCTCGTGCCGCCATCCTTTTTGCTCGCTGCGGGTCCGGCCCAACGTAACCAATTGCAGACCATGCCGGATTGCCCCCACTCTCATCGACCTGTAAACACACTTTAGACTATCTTGTAAGCGAGCGTCATATACAAGGTAGCTCCAGATGTCCAAACAGTCAGAAGGATTCATTGGGTATCAAGGTAGCTCCAGATGTCCTTACAGTCCAAAGGATTCATTGGATATGAGGGCATGGATTAGCTGCACAATGGTTAAATGTTGGCTGTGCTTACCTTGCCATAGAAGGCCACCATGGTGAGACTCTTGAATGCCCGGAAGAGTGCGCGAAAGTCCTCCAGGCGGCTGCTGGCCCAGCCCTGTAGTATGCGCTCACGCGCGTGGGGCGACAGGGCAGGGAAGGAGTGCACAAAGGGGAAGCGCCAGTCGAGCGCCCAGCGGCCCGCCAGGAGGAGGGTGCCCAGGCCCCAGCTGAGGAGGGTCAATATGATGGACAGGCGGCCGACAGCGGTGGGGTTCAGGTAGGTCAACAAACCTGTCGCAGATGGGGAGAAAGGCTGGATTCGAAGTCCGAAGAATGGTTCAGGTGAAAGTGATGGAGATGCTGACGTCCAGACTTGGGGCAAAGGGTTGCGCTTCCGGATGTTGAGTGGGAGCAGCAAGTATGTGACAGAGTTGAAGTCTTGTTGAGGTATCTTCTAGAAGAGGTTCACTCTGTCCTGGCCAGAAAAAAGGCGATACCTGACTTGGAGCGCTCTCCCTAAAGATAAGCCTCTCAAGCGCGGTCGTCACTGAAAGTGCTTGGGAATTGCTGGACAGTGTTGCTGGTTTCATGGTCGATTGCCTCTACACTGCCTTCTTTCGAAAGCGTCATTCAAAAGCTTGAACACATGCGCTAGCTTTCTGAATTGCTGCTATGAGACCTTTCGCTCAATTCGGGCGCAACACCTTGCATAATGACTGCCTTACTTGGTGGGCAGGCATAGCCTCTTGCATAAGGCTACTCAAGAAGCTATAACTGTTTGGGGAATCTTTTTTCGGCAATCTGCAATACGTGCTCAAAATACGAACCTGCCACCGCTTCAGGAGTCCCATCCGCTGAACCAGAGAGAGCAAAGAACTTTGGCAGCTCCGAGGGGGCCGCCTGTGGTTCGTGACCATTGAGAGCAGGTTTGTGGTCCCCAACTGGGTGGTGCACCTTCGCAGGACTTCTGTTGGCCCCAGCTGTGCTGACATTGCCTGTCTTATCCTTCCCGCCAAGCGATGGACTGCCGGCGTCATCTACTGTCGGAATCAGGGTTTCACAGATGCTGGCAAGCACGCCAATCTGCCGCTCGTTGAGCAGAGGGGGTGGTGCACCGCCATCCAATGGGTGCAGCTTGCGAGACGCCATTGCTGTCCTTCGTCCCAACGTTGACATTGCCCATACACATACTAATAGCACCCTCCCTGGTTTGCCCAGGCGAAGGAAAGGGAATACAGTTTACTGTTCAGACTGACAGTGAGAATGTAGACGGCAAGTTTGCTCCAGAGTCTTCTAGGAAGCCACATAAGACGAGGTTAGATTGGCCATATACGAGCTCCTGGAAGCACATTGGGTCACTTGTACCGGGTGCCGCATGTACATGCCCGTGCATACCAACGGACGGGTCCAAAACCCTCTCTCCTCAGTTTAACGGCCCGATTGGCAGAACTCCCGGCCCCAAGCAAAGTGCCCCGGTCCTGCTTTGCGTGCAAAAATGGGTCAACATTTGAATAAATATCTGCACAATCCCTCCTTGTTAAATCGAAGGCCAATCCCTCCTTATTAACCTCGTTGATTTCGAGAATTCACCCTGAAACACATATCACACTTTCAAAAGCGCATATCGTTAAAGCTTCTATTACGCAAGCTATTTTCAAACAAAAACCTTCCTCTATCGCCCAACCCGATTTCGGCAACGATGCACTATACTATAATGGCTCATATGCAGATCAAAAGTTGCTGTTTTCGCGTTTATCTTGGTCTACCAACGATAACCATGTAATACCATTTCACAAGTTCTCTATTCGAGATCGCTATCGCTCTATAAATGACAACAACAATGTCGCTATAGCTTCTAATGCCAGGTGGAACCTCCGCCTTTCTAGCCCTAACCTCGATTGGCCAGCGCATTTTAAATATGTAAACGACCCACTTCTACATAACAAAACCAGAGAACTCCTTTATAAAATTTATACCCGTGCCTGCATGACAGGACTCGGGTCGAACAATATGGCCATCCTAGCACATGTACCTATTGCGATTCAATCGAAGACGAATTACATCTATTCATTGAATGCAACAGTATCCAAGAAATTCGATCTTGGTTCGGTGATATGATTTCGATCTTATATCCGACTCTCGATTATCATAATCTAGAACTCCCCGTACTCTTATTTGGTTACAATACACATATACCCGCTCGCGACATTGCCCCGTGGAAACTTCTTCACGCAGAAACCCTCCGTGCAATATGGTTAGCGCGCAATGAAAGCATTTTTGAAGGAAGGACTGTATCTCTGAACGAAACCATTGCTCTTATCAAATGCCGCATTCTTCAATCTGCACAGATTTACTATTATAACATTCGCAATTCACATGCTAAGAACAAGAGACGTCGCATTAAAAGATTCCTGCATCTTTGGACAATCACTGTCCCCATTTGCATGCTAAATAGTAAAGGCTATCTTGCTTTGAACCCTCTTCTGACGACTTAGCCTAGCCGCTATATACCGCACATATAATCAACGGATCAGCGCTATCTTATACATGTTCACCACAACGTGATTATCGCGGTCTTTATTGTTCGATAAAAGGGGGTGGCCCGGGAGCATAACCCGGTCTGTTTTTAAGCATCCTGTGAACCCACGAGCTAGTGCGGTTTCTTAGGAACCCTAGCTCGGTGGGGGATGCCCACCTTCCTCCCTGCGGGGAAAGAAAAAAAAAAAAAAGAAGGCCAATGCAGGCCAATGGCAATGCACACCAGCACATCTGCACAAACAAACGTCCACCATAGCACATTTCGAACAAACACTGAGGGGCGCCAGTAGAGGGTTTCAGGAGGCGAGTGCTGTTCGAGAAGGGGCAGGAGGCGTCGATTGTGATCTCAGAATGGCGGTGAAATGTGCAGCTGCAACCTCGCAGCTGGCATGGGTGAGCAACGGCAAAATCCGCAGCATTGCATTCTCCAATGTCCTATCCTCCTCATAGGATTGAATGCCTTTGGACCAGGTGCAAGCCACAATTGGGGCAATCTTTGCTTACCAGCCATCTTTCTTGTCGCAATTGCTCGTCAACTTGACCATTTTGCAGTAGCATCTGCACAAAGAAGGCAGAAAGGAATTATCTGATAGGATTGCCTCGGTTCTCACATATGCATGAGGATACTTGGTAATGGTAGCATTGCAAAACAAGGTGTTGTGACAGTGTTCGTGGCGCCACTTGGCATGGCACCGTTGGATTGAAGAGGATCTGACGTAGTCTAAGTGTGCAGTTTCAGCGGCTTCAAATATGCAAGGCCTGCTTGTTTGCAGTGCTTACAATCGGTCTTTGGTCACTTTGTATCCAGCTTACAAGACCTCGGGCATAGCTGGGAATCTAAATAAATCAGGAAAGACGAATGCTGTGCTGGTCTGGTTGTTAAGCACTGATCGGTGGGTTGTCGTATAATCTCACCATGACTAATCTGTAAGCAACCAAATGATGATCAGGGCATTGCAGACAATGAGTTTTATACCGAGGCTCGGCTCAGCCACCGGAACCCAAGGAGAGCTTCATCTACTTTATTCTAGCTGGCTAACCTCCTTGCCCAATTTAGTGTCGGTGCATTTGATCGCAGCAATTGCAAATCTCCATCTGGAGGCTATACCAAATGATAGCCAAGATTTGTGGTGCTCAAACTGTCCTTTCACTGTAACAGAGTGACGGGCTTTCAGAAGTTCCTCCACACTTAGACATGCTTCCTCGCGGCGGTCTGGTTTTCATTGCTGCTAAACTGATGTCATATCTACTCATCGGCTGCCGTCAAACTCCGCCAGAGCATGCATTTAATACCCTGCCACCGAGAGGGACTGTGATTCAGATTCTCCCTGGTGCAGGGTGTGCAGCGCAGCTTGGCTGCGTCCGGCCTCTGTGCCCCCCGCAGCTGCGCCCCTGCTCGGTTCGTCCTCCCTCGCACGCCGCTCCGCCCCGCTGCTTCCCTTGAGCTCGGCGCCTCCTCCCTAGGCTCTGCCAGCAGCGCCTTTGCCAGCTCACCCGCTTCCTCGGAACTGTCCCTTTCCGGCATCGCATCCAGGGCAACCTCTGCACTGCGGAAGAATGGGGTCAGGGCCATGGCCACGGTAGGTCGTCGAGCTGGGGCAAAACACCTGAACACGGCCGTACATTCAACCTGTCTCAGGCAGGCGCTGTCCGCGTACCTTCCTCAGCTTGAAATCATCAACCTTGTTGAGTACACTCTATTCGCTGGTCCTCGCATCAATAGGTGATCTCACTAAGAGTGCTTCTTAGTCAAGTGACGCTGTCTGAGTTGCCCGTCTAATTCCCGGCAGGAGGCTGCCAAGCCGCAGGCCAAGGTGACCCACAAGGTCTTCTTCGACATTGAAGTGGGGGGCGAGAAGGCAGGGAGAGTCGTGCTGGGCCTGTTCGGGGAGGAGGTGCCCAAGACCGCAGAGAACTTCCGCGCTCTCTGTACAGGTAACTTGGCAGTCGCTCCAACGCCCCAGTCGATATCTTTTCAGTTTGCTTTTGAACTCAGGGATGGGGCCAATGAGCTTTTGCATGACCCCTTGTACAGGCAGCAAAGCCGTCCGCTTGGGAATGACCGAGACACAATTTGTTGGAACTCGTTTTTGCAGAGATTGCGCCTTTTGCTGTTCAGGAGTTAGTCTTCATACCTCACTTGATCTGTTTGCCAGACCAGCTGCTCGACATCCTTGGAAGGGAGGAAGGCCACCATTGCGGTCCCCTTACGGCCATGTTCAGATGTTGCTCGACCATTTTCCGTCCTGGATCCAGAACAGGGACGTGTTCTGCCAAGCTCGCACTTGCCCATGTTCCGGGCGCGGTCACTGAGCGTGCGGTCTCTGTTACAATTCTATTCGCACAATTCTATTCTATATGTGCGGACGGGCTGTTCAGGACCTTGACTTCACGTGGCTGGCGCGGGGCTTCTCAGCCCCTCTCCCACAAGCGCACCTCTCCTAGCCCCTCTCAGGCCCCCACGTGTCTCCGAATACAGCCCCGCCTGTCTCACCCTATCTTTGGGGCTGCCTTACAGGAGAGAAGGGCTTCGGCTACAAGGGCTGCGGGTTCCATCGAATAATCAAGGAGTTCATGATTCAGGGTGGAGACTTCACCAAGGGCAATGTGAGTGGACAGGCTGAATCTTCGTGTTCAACTCGTGTAACAAGAGACGGTATCCTCAATCCAACTTCTGTAGTCCTAGTGTCTTGTCAATGTATCACTGCCCTCCTGCTGATCAGCGAGCTGGATTGATTTCCTTGCGTTACGTGTTCAGGGCACTGGTGGAAAGAGCATCTACGGAAATAAGTTCGAGGACGAGAACTTCAAGCGTGAGCCCTTGCTTCCCAGTTGCTGCTCCATGTGTTAGGTCGTGAAGCCGGCCTGTATATGGTCGTTCAGATGGCCATTCTTTGCTTTTTGCAATCCTCCGAGCATGAGAGCAGCGTGTTTTGCAACCAGCACCCAGCCCTAGCGAGTTGCTTCCAATCATCTCGGCAGCTGGTCGTCACATATTCGCCTCTTTTCATTCGCAGTTTGTCCTTTCCGAAACTGCCTCCTCCTCTGTTTTGCAGTGTCCCACACTGGGCCGGGCATCCTCAGCATGGCCAATGCTGGGCCCAACACCAACGGCTCCCAATTCTTCCTCTGTACAGTCCAGGTACGAAAACCTCAACCCCGGCAGACGATCTGGCAATCTCCATGATTCGGTCTGTGAACGGTTCTGTCACATGGTCGTGCAAGAATGACTCATGGACCAATTGACCTGGCTTTGCATTCAGCTGTCTTTGGTCTTCCATGTCCGGATGTTTCCGGAATCTAGTCAAAAGCTTTATTTGCTGCATCACATCAATGTCTGCCACCACTGGATGATTATATACGAAGCTGTCATGATTACGACTCAAGAACCAGTAGGCTATGCTGTTAGACGGCTTTCGGCCGCTTGTCATTGCCAAACTCCATCAGCAGTCCTTCTCCTCTGCTGTAAATCTTCAGGTCCGAAAGGCCTCGCAAGCATTACTGTTGATTTCAGTGCTTATATTGCTTCGTTGCAGACTCCTTGGCTGGATGGTCGGCACGTGGTTTTTGGCCAAGTCCTGGAAGGGATGGACGTGGTCAGCAAGGTCGAGAACCTGGACACAGACCGGTCGGACAGGCCAAAGAAGCCCGTGGTAATCGCAGACTGCGGTGAGCTGGACAGCTAGCTTCGCTTGTCGGAGAGCCTTAGAAGGCCAGTACGAGAAGACATGCTCCTGGCAAAGGGCGTTTAACCGGAGTAAGTTCTGAAACTTCTACCGATTTGGCCCAGCTGATGCATGAGTCCGAATGTAGGTCGAACTTTTACCTAATTGTATATTAGCACAGGTCACAAAGCCATAGGTGACTGCATGACTCTCCGGTCTGGTAGGCGGCCGGCCATGCAGCGGGGGCGCCCATTTCGATATCCGGATTTGATCCTGCAAGCGGAACCTGCACCTAAAATCCGACCTGCATGTCGTGCGTGTTGCTCCATCATATGGCAAACAAGCTTGAGGGTGATGGGTGCATGTGCATTCGGTTATGATGTCTTTTGCCGGGTTGCGGACCGCGGTATGTATCATGTACGGCCGGGTCACCTGTAACGCGCTTGCAGTTCACTTGATCGAATGTACTGCCTATCCTACATATGTATCAAAACGACATTGCAAGCAATGTATATTGCTTACAGATAGAAAGCTTGATCCTATCTGCTCTATGATGCGCAATTAAGTGGGCATGCAGCCGAATAACACGTTTATATAGCTGATGATTACAACATGGCCATGCGCGTGGTTTGGCTGCAAGTTCATGGTTCTCGCAAACTTGGTGCTTTGCATGGAGCGAGATGAAACGCCGCGCTAAGCCTGTTCAAACCGGTGAATTAAACCGGCTGTTAGCTAGCTCTCCACGCCACAGTGACACAAAAATCGACCCGGCTTAAGACTTTTTGTGTCACTGGTCAATGACCGGTGCATGTTTACCGGTCGGTGAACATTCGTTGACCCGAGAAGAACTCACATGACCTAAGTCTTATGTGTCGCCTAGAGAGCATATAAGATGAGTCCTTCTACTATGCATTGAAGTTTCTTGAATCATCTCAACTTCTCTCTTGCGACACAAGCTTAGTATGCCAGAGCAGCCAGCTTCGATTCGTGACGGACGCAACGAGTTCATGAAGGGCGAGTGAGCGTAAGCTGGAGTTATGCTGGCTTGCTTGTAAGAAACACGCATGGTTGAAAGCGTTAGACGCCTTGCTTCTTGCCTCAAGCTTGTGCCAAGCTGTCTAAGAACAGGAAACCGAGATAGAAGCCAAGAATTGTTCGAACTATAAAAGTGCTGATGGCATTTCAAGTAAGATGCAGCTCTGTCGGTCTGATATTAGTCCTTCTTGCAGTCTTTTTAACTACAAGCTGCTGGATCGGGGGTCCTTCAGCGCGGGAAGATTTTGCACAGGAGGAGCTAGACTCACATTGGATCACCCACAGGATATGTATCCGCCAAGGAGCTGCTGAGATATCTGATGCGGGTGCTTCAGAAGAGTCAGTGACCAAACCTGAGGGTAATCTGCACTTGACGGAGACACATGCAACGGATAATCCAACGAATGGAACGGTCTATCGAGATGCTGCAGCTCCCGTCCTTTCTTCGAAAGTCCTTGAGCTCGACGAGAACAACAACGAGAACAAAGGCAGCAGGAAACAGGACCTCTGCTCTCACAGGATCCAGAATGGAACTCTCCGCTGGAATGAAAAAGCAGAGGAGATCCTCATGTCTATCTTCGAGCGGATGCAGTTTCCCAAGAAATGCGAGGAGGTGAAGGTTCTGGGAGTTGAGATGGACGTATCTGGTGAGCGGAATATATGTCGAAGAAAATCCTAAAAAGATGCATGTGCAGGTTCTCCTCACGTTATATTGAAATACTCCCTTCAAACATTAGCTTCTAGATCCGTCAGAAACGGAGTCTTTCAAACACGATGAGCTATGCCCCTGCGAATGCAATATTTGCATGTCCTCCTTTTTCTGCTTATTGAGCACAAGCCATAATATGTGAATTGCGATCATCTGCTGACTGAATGCAGGGCTCATGTGGAATCTCCAAGCTTGGGAGCGAGCTCTCATTCTTGGCGCGAGATTGAACAGGACACTAGTTCCTATTGCAGCCAGCAGTGAAGTTCCTCATTACCTTCGAGCATCTTGGTGAGTACAATGGACAGACCGTAGGATCGCGAAACCTTGACAGTAATCTTGCGTGATTGCGCCATCTTGTTTTTCTTTGAACCTCCGTGCAAACTGGTGAAAGTAACGTGTGGTTTGCACCCGACTGCGTGTGTTCGGAATTGGTCGTCGTATGCGTGGCAATTGCTAGCAATTTGTTCTGTTCAATGCATCTGAAAAGTCAACAAAACAAAAATCCTTGATCAAATGTATACACTGACTACCGCGCTCGCAGACTCGTTCGCTGATCAATGCGCTGAAGCAATCTCTTCTCCATCTTTGGTAGGGACGGGTGTCCTCCTGAAAGAGCGCACGTGGGATGTTTCTTTGAAACCGGGGCTTGCAGCTTCGATGATATGCCTGCAATGATGGCTGCACTTGACGCCGCTCCACGAGTCCAGCTGAACATGTCAGACGAAGCTGGAAAAGGAACTTTCAATATGCTGGAACGTTCAGAAGCTATGCTCGTGAAGATGGAGAGCTTCAGACATCACTCAAATTGGTGGAGGTAAAATACCTGGTCGCGCGATCCCCTTGATGCATGTTGTCAAATTCGTCAGATTTCGAAGATGTTGAAAGTCAACGATGTCGTGATGCGACAGCTTGATGTACAATTTGCGGTACATTGAATCAGACCCAGCTCTTATTCCAAAGAACTGGAAGATGTTCCAAAAATGACTGAATGCAGAAAGATGCGAGCGATTTGCCGGGTCACTAATCCGAAGGTCTCAACTCCGCATTGAAGCTTGTACTCTGTTCTTCACAGGGACATCTACCCTCACGGGCTTTGGGACACCCTTGTGACGGAGGAAGCTGTCTGGCTGGAGGGAGGAGGAGACGTTGAGAACGCATCAAACCAGGACAGAGTGAACCTCTTGTTCTCCATCACGACCTTGTGGATGTTCCGGCCACTGCCCGAGATCCGGAAGCTCTCAGATGACATCGTCAACTCCTTTTCCAACTGGACGCCACCGCTTGTCGGCATTCATATCAGGCAAACGGTAGGTCAATCGTGATCACATGGCCACTTCGGTAAAAATACAAGTAATCCAGTCTGCTTGTAGTCCAAATATCAGTAACTGCTTTCGAGACTAGCGGTGTCAACGAGGCTCTTGAGAGGCTTGAACGGCTTAAAAGGTAAAGGCACGGATTCAGACACCATCGTTGAAGCCAGAGGTCGGTGCATTCAGCGTGCTCTTACGTAAGAACGAGCCATTTCCATTCCTCCGTCCAGGACAAGAAGATGGAAGATCCGTACTGGATGGTCCACGGAAGGTACAGGAATCTGACGGACTACGGGCACGCCGTGGCAACAGTTGAAAGAAAGTGCAATGCAAGTTTCAACAGCGTCTTCCTCATGAGCGATTCTCAGACCGTGGTGGAGATGGCTCTCGCCCATCCGGAGTCCATTGGTCTCTCCCCGTTGGTCAAGATCCTGTACGACAAGAGCGTCAACCGGTCCGCGCTTGCTCGAGGCCACGTGCACGTCCCAGTCGAGATCAAGAAGGAGGTGCAAGATCACTTCGTGGCTGCTGCTTACGCGCTCATGCGGTCTGCGGACCACGTTGTCTGCACCCTCTCGTCGAATGTAGCAAGGTTGTTCTTCCAGTACGCCACGGCAAAGGGTCGAGCGGCTCAAGTGAGCGCTGCGGGGCCTTTTGCAACCTCCCTGGATTATCCCGACTGGGCAAGTGAAGAGCAGGCCTGGTTCCCATGAAGTTGATTGTCGATAGGAACTTGTAGACCTACTCGCTACAATATCATACCGATTTGAAGGTGCCAAACTGTTGGTTATGTTCAGAGCCGTTGATAAGGCGACAACAATTAATGATGACTTGAATTGCGGCTCAGGCTGCAAGTCGCACAGTACTACAGTAGACATACTAGGAGAGCTAAGAGTCGAGTTGGTCGTCTGTTTCAATGACTCAGTGCCAGATCCGGCCCCATGTGCCAGTACAGCTTCCATGCACGCCGCCCACTATGTCATGGCATATGTTGGCTTGAATTTTTACTTGTTTAATGCATGACCGGCTAAAGATAGGCCTTCATATGGTGGCTTGTGAAGAGGCCTTCTGTTGTGGCAGAATTCGCACGGATGGCTTTCTTTCCGTAATACATGTGCTAATGACTTCATTTTGATTAGACTTTTATGCCAGGTCTGCATCCACGTCGAAGCGCGGCCGCGGGCTAGCTGCGCATCGATCTGCGCCATGAGACACATGATGTGTGCATATCCGTTATTTTTAGTCACTAACTTTGTGAGTCCATACATATGCCGGATGTTTCGATCAGCAATTCTTCCAGTGTCGCCCTTCAATACATTCAATGACATGGTGCACGCAGCCAGGTCGATCAGCCTTACGTACAATCTTACTGTTCATTGCATGGGATCACTGCATGGACTATAGGTATATCATGCATGCGCGAGGTTATATGGTCATGTATGCCAGCAGATGCGATTGCAATGGATCATTGAATCCAGATTGCATATACATCCATGATCACGTACGGCCCGGGCGGGCGGCTGCAGCCGGGTGCCCATGTCAACGGAAGCGAGCTGCAGCCGGGCAGTCTCATTTAAAATTTGATGAGTCTGATTTAGGCTTAGCTAGCATATCAGAAAGCGAAATGAAGCTTAGCAAACGGTTACAGGTCGATCAACTTCAGAAATATTTATTCATACATCGACAAGAACATCTTCATTCACATCGAGTATTTCCGACCGGGAAGTCCGACAATTGCAGTCGCAATTGATTGGCCGGAAGCGTGCAAGGTGCCGCCAACCCGGCAGACTCTGTCATAAACCAAACCACTCAAGAGTTGTGATCGAGAAGCTCAAGAGGACACGCTTCATGTTTGGAGAGTTGATACTGAGCATCAATCACTTTCCACATCTATATAACAGTGCTCAGGGTGCACAACAATATGGTCCATCGCCTCCGCACGTCTTACAGTCAACCTTAGTCTGGTCATCCACTGTCTGCTTTATTGTACTTGCGTTTCTTAGTTTGCCCGCCCTGCTTCCGGTTCTTCTCTGCCCGCTGCTTCTCTTGAGCTACGTTGTACACCCCTACGGCCTGCAACCAGAACCAAGAATGCACATCAGTACAAAACCTCTCGACGTTCGGTTGCGGACTGAGCAACGTAATAGCCAAGACTGCGGAAAGAACGCAAACGAAGGACGTCGACTGGGGTACTGCAAGACTCACGATGGCTTCAGACACGATCGAGTCGGTAAGGAGCTCACCCTGTCCGTGTCGAAGATGTCGTCGTTGTGCTTGGCCATGACCTTCCCTAGGACACTCATCGTCTGCCTCCGCTCATTTGCTGTGTCCTCGACCGGGAGGAACTGAGTAAAAGGAAAACGTATAAGTTAGTCATCAGCAAGGCCGTCGAAGCATTCGTGACCAAGTTCGAAGAGATAATCATTCCTCCCACTTCAATATCTTCAAGCTTGCTCTCAGTTCTCGCCATCTGTTCACTGGCTGCAGACCGTCCGCTAGTGGTACAAAAAATGAAGAACGATTCGTAAACTGCCTCGTGGTTTGAGCTTCAAGCCTGGCAATCTTCGCACCCAGAGAAACTCGAAAAGTCGGCCTTCTCTGACCTGGGACTCACATTTGGTGCACATTCTCCTCTAAGTCCAGTGTAAAAGAGCTCCACAAAGAGGGCAAGGCAAACGGGAGGTTAATATAAGGGACGCTAGAACGGGACTTCCCACCTTCCTCTTTTTGCCCTTGTTTTTTATTGGCTTTTCGCCCGGCCGTTTCGTATCGAACTTGCCGATAGACGCTGTGGCGACCCCTGCCTGCCCCACCGCCTCCTGGAGGTCGCCCTTGTCAACTTTCCGCCGATCATGCTTGGAGCCCCCGGATGTGGCCAAGTTCGTTGCAGCGAGCGCTATCGTGCTGCACACAAAAATAGAGCCTTTGATTTCCATCGCAACGAAGCGGATGAGGATAGGGCACGAGACAAGTCTCAACGGTTCATCTACCAAGCTTTGCGCAACTTCTAGATCTTGCCTCGGGCTGTAACAATTAGCGGCTTGGACCCCCTGAAAACCAGAAAGTAGAAGAAAACAGCATTTACGTCTTAGGTTTCCGGCTACAGGTACCCAGTGCTCCCCCTGTCAAGTTGCAAAACGGTTGTGCTCATGAGCGGGCTAAAGTTCCAAAACGGTTGTGCTCATGAGCTGGCTACAACAATGAGCGGTTTGAAACCCCTCAAGAAGAAGAACCAAAAATACAAAGTAGAAACAAAGAAGCATTTCCGTCTCAAATCCTCTGTCTGATGTTACTCAAATTACCAGCATTCAAACTCCAAAGGAGATTGTGCTCATTCGAAAAAGTTCGGTGAACTCTATTGCTGTTGCCCGTCCCCAGATTCGAGCTCGTCCTGGTCCTTCAAGACACACCGTGTCTGCCTTCTCCAAGTTTTCCTTGGTGACCGCTTTAAAGTTTCCTTCCCCGCAAGACGAACCAGATGCAATACTTTAATCCTATCAAGACCGTCAAGACAGCTAATCTACACTTCTTTCTCTGTTGTCAAGACCTCGAACCTGCTGACAAGCCCACAGTTTGGCATCTGCAGAGTAGGGGGTGGGCCTCACCTGGGCAGGACAGCGGGGCCCCTAGCCTTGACCGCCTGCTTCAAGTTTTGCAGCCGGTTCTTCTCCTGCTTCGCAATGCGCTCCTTCTTGTTCGCTGCCAGCTCCTCAAACGGATCACTGCCCACCTCTGCACCAGCGCAACAGCAGTACTGACCTCAGGAGAAGTCCCCAGTGGTTCAAGCAAGACAAGCATCCGAAGTAACTCCACTTTCCCCAGGAATGGTTCCTGGAAAATCTATTTGCGCTGGAAAGTTGCATCAATACGAAAGCTGCGGTGCAAGGTAGGCAGACAACATCGATGACCAAAGCAGGCAAGGTGGAGGAACCAAGCAGAACAAGCAATTCTTGCAGTGCCCACTAGGTGCAAAGGGCTAAATAATGAACGGATCTTCTTCTGCCACTAAGGGCGAATGGACATTCTGCAACCGTCCAGGCAATTGTACTTCCTTATTCCATAGATATTGGTTCTCCCAGGAATCTAACTTTGGAAGGTAAGACTGTCGACTCATACGAGAAGTCAGAACTTTACAACTGAAACACTTTCTAGCCTTTCATAGACTCCGGAAACAGCTGTACACAGGGCGCAGGGAGCCCTCACCGTCCGAGGCGCGTGCCTCTAGGATGACCTGGTCCGCCTCGTTGTTGGCGCGCTGGTAGCCGTGCCGCCGCTTGTACTCGCCCGTGGCCTCGTCCAGCACCAGCCGGCTGCGCTTCTTCTTCACAATGCCCTTGGTCTGCGCAAACTTCTCCCATTTGGTGGGAGGGCGTGGCTTCGGCAACTGCACACAAGAGCAAGGGGCGTGAGCATCGGTCCTGCGTATCTTGTTGCACCAGGCTGCTCCATCCCTTGCATGACCAAGGCTGCTTCAAGGAAGCAGCTTTGAGATCTTTTCGTGGTTGCACATGGCATGGCCACATCTCAGCCTCAGCACCACCAGAAACCTCTGGATGCAAGTTCGAGTGTGCCCGTATGCCCGCCTGCCCATCAAGGACAACTTCCGTGTCCAACAGGAAGCAATCGGCAAGCCGCACCGGCTTTTCTCTAGGCAAAGGGGTGGTGGGAGGTGGGAGATCGACGAGGCGGCCTGCTTTGTCGGGGCGCGATGGCAGGGAGAACACGGCGTTGGCCAGCGCCTGCAGCACGTCCCGCCCCACCCGCAGACAAGCAGCGTCTGCATCTTCCCTACATCACAAGTAATTTGAGGATTAGGTCCAGAATACCCCGTCCAGCTCAGAGGCAGTGAATATTTGGCATATGAGCGCAAAGTGGGGCAGCTGGGCCTCTGCTTGCACCACTCCCTGGATTGCGCCCCAAGCACCTGCTCAAATGACACCTGGTAGCTGTCAAACAAGAGGGCAAGTGTGGTGAGAGACTCATGCCCGTAGGGCATTCAAGTCATCAAAAGGTGGAGCAGATGAGATACAGATACGGGGCAAAACTTTGAGAATGCTAGGCCCTTCCTTGGTTGCAGCTCTTCCAAAAGCCTGACCTTCGGCTCACAGAAGCGGTTCAAACAGCAACTATCAGCAGACCACAGTGATAGCTGTCAACTTGAATCACGAACTGTACCACCTGGTTGTGGGGCAGCCATTACCAGAATGTTCACAAAGGCTTATAATCAGCAGCTTGAAGTCTTGAGCAATATAAAAGACAATCTGCCCTCGCAACACTACTATCTTAAGCAAAGACCCGGCAGTCTTTAAGTCAAAGTACACTCAACCTCTGCCTGCAAGAAGGTGCGCTTACTCTGTCCTAAAGTCTTCCACATTGAGCGGCCGTGGGTCAAACGCAGCCAGATTTCCAATGTCTACGTCTAGTGCAGAGGGAAGCACCGCGTCCGATGGCTGTGAAACTTCCCCGTCCGGCTTTCCATGCCCAGCGTGATCCAGAACAGCAGCCGCCATTGCTAGGAAGCGCTTTCAAAGCAACACTGAATTCGAATTTCGTGCAATTGGTGTAGTGACCAAGAAACAGAAAAGTCCGAAAATGGTAATTCCTACCTATGCACGTACAGGCTCGGAACTTTGTCAAATTCTGAACCCTAAATCTAAAACGGTGCGCCGGCCATTGAAACGGGTCACCAGATGCCTACAGTATCTTGACACCACAAACCACTTAAGAGATTTGACAAGGTAGCCTCAGTACTTTTGTGGTGTACAATTTTCCTCTTTTGATCTTTGGAGCGTGAGCGATAACGGGATGGACCGGCATTTTCAGACCTGGATGCTGGGCTGGGATAAAAACCCGCGGTCGTCGGATGACTGGCGAACTCTGCGCTGCACGGTTGCACCCGAAATTCGAACAGATCTCAGCTCTTTCTTGACCAGAGCCTGAGGCTTCCTTGCGACTCTGTCTTGAGAAGAAACGCTTCTTCGCTTCAATCCTTCATTGAATCATTGCTCCCGGAGAGGTTTGCTACTGGCAGTTGGGGCTAGCTTTTGTAAGACACCAGAACATTGTCGTGGACTCGGAGGGCTCCGCCCCCAAAAGTTGGCGCAAATTCTCAAAGTGGTTGCAGTGGGCAATCGGTGACTCTTATTGTGAGTCTAGGACGCATATCTTTCCCCTGGATCTGCGTTGTACGGCTGCAGATGGCTGGCGCTTTGAAGGTCCTCCGACATGTGTACGATCGTATCCGCGGCCAAGGCATCAAAGAGACTTTTGTTAAGGCCAAGGATCAGGGGTTTATCAACAGCCTGCTGGATGGCAATCTGTTTGAAACCAAAGTTCTGAAGGGCGAGGGCAAGTTGGTGGGCGAGGACAAGCTAGGGAACAAGGTGAACTTGTTGCTTTGATTGCCGCAAAATATTTTATTGTTCCTAAAACCTTCAGAATAGGGTTGCTGCCACCCACTCGCCCGCTACGTTTAGAGAATTCTGTCGATGACTCTGCCAGGTTCCGACGCAGCTGTTTCACCTTGTAATGCAGATTACATGATTGACAGCTTGTTCTTGGGGGATATCTGACTGGGCATCGCCTTGCCAAGTGCCACAGCACTCGATGTGCAAGCACATCTGATTAGCATTCATTTACGCACTTGGGTCCGTATTGCAGCACTTGTTGTGCTTATCCTGTTATACTCCGCAACATCCCTGTCAAGGTGGCTTTGATCAATCAAAGCATCGGGCCAGAATTCTGGATTGATTGCTGACTGTCTTTTGACGCAACCCCAGCATGCGTTTCTCTGAGCGCTTGCCATACAGCACATTGTTTTGGTTAAATTTGCTGGCTGGATAGCTGCAAAGACGGTGCGTTGATATTCGTGTCGTTGGTTCTGGCTACACGGCAGTGGCAGGGCAATCTGTAGCAAAATCTGCTCGAGCCCTGTTCGAAATCGGGCCAGCTGAATGCGCGCCAACCCTGCCTAGCGTTGCTTGCAGTACTATGAGCGGTTGACCGACACCCAGTTTGGACGGCACCGCTGGGTGGAGTACAAGGACAACACCTCGTACAATGCATCGACGGTGCCCCCTGAATGGCATGGCTGGTTGCACTACATCACAGACTACACGCCATCAGAGATCCAAGCCTTCACAGTGAGCGGCGTTGACCAAACACGGGATGAAGTTTCTTAAGTGACTGACGCACCTTAATCCAGGAGCGTAAGACGACGACGGTCCAGGGGAAGGCTACAGATCGTTCTGTATTAAAATGCTGGAAGAGCCTCCCAAAATCCCCTGTCTTTGCCCCATCCCATCATCCGAGTTTGCTTCCTTTGTTCAATTGGCCCCCGTCTTGTTGTGCGCAGCCCTTCTATTCCAAGGAGCACAAAGCCAACCAGACCGGAAAGGGCGCAGAGCACATCTACCACCCTAAGGGCCACTTCCAAGCCAAGGACGACAAGCGGACACGATGGCAGCGGTGCGTAACCCGAGCTCAACTTGTCCTTGACGGCCACACTCCTGCCCTTCATTGGTGAAAATGAAACTTGAGTACTGCTGTTATCGCTTTTCTTGGCCATCGTGTGAGTATTTCAGGCGCTCATGTTGTGCTTTACCTGTGCAGCGTTGAGCCCTGGAAGCCAACATAGCCGATGTAGTGCTTCCGCTTACCGTGACGTCACACATTGCCTTGCACAATAAGGTTGACGCACCACCCTGTAAAGCCTGCTTCGGTGCAAAGCCTTCAACATAGAGGTCCAACCCGAAGATCCTGCGAAATGAACATCGATTATCGAAATCGCCTCTGTAAGAACCATCACTTCGATTATGTTTAAGACGAGCCTCACTTGCAATTTCCTGCCAGAAGAAGCCTCCTGCACAGCTTCTTGAACAGCTAAGAGAACGGGATTGCCAGGCTTGTCGGATGTTCTTTACGTGGATCCAAGCAAGCTGTCAATTTGTCAGATCATCTTGAATTCTCACTTCTTTTAGCTTGTTGAACTTACATTGAAGCACGCAGGATTGGTCCGTTGGCAGCTTTACTACGCCTTTAATATGCTCCATCTGCAGTGACACGTCTTGTGAGTTGTGAATTAGAGCTAGTCATGACCCTCGGATTGACAATCGTGTGTTCTGGTTTAAGACCATCTATTGACGAGCAACTTGGCAAGCTGATCCAGTACAAACACTGGATCACTGGCTGCATGTACGTCGGGCGGCCGGCATGATCGGATATGGTACAGAAACTATACTGCGGCCTTCAATGCTATCATGCGGCTGGCAGCATTGAATCTGATTGTTGTGCCTAACTCAGCCGCTGCGCTGTTGAAAATGATGTTTGATATAAGTTCTCTTCTCAAACGCCGTAACCACATGGGCAGTGAATGATGGGAATCGATGTTCAAGTTTTGATCATCTATCGTGATCCATGCGATCAACCATCGAATTTGAACGATCCCCCGGAATTCCTTGATTCAATTGGATTGCCACAAATTGGTGACTTTAGCGCCTAGCTCACCATCCACTTAATTGTCGGAGTGTGCACCACAGCCGCATCGCCCGGAAAACCCAGAATATTTTTCATGACAATTCAGTTCACTGCATCCACAACGTACTCCAAGCTGCATCATATACCTATGGCACTGCCGCCAGGCAATCTCAAGCGTGAATTACAGCTGTAGTCGGAGTGACGGTACTGCCTATGATGTGCCGCATGATCGTACACTCAATCTACCGACTTCCAAGCCAGATACGCTCATGCACTCCACATTGCGGGGAGCTCTCAGTGTGCTAGCGAGTTGATGTGCCAAGCTGCCAGACCAAGACGCAGATATGCAGCCTATGTTTTGAACGGGCCGCACTGAAATGATGCCATGTTGCAACCAATTAACACTGTTAGGTTGTTCAACCAGAACTCTGTACAAGTGAGGGTCCGTCTCTAGATGAAGGAATGGAGGTTGACATCTTTCGTGCCCAAGGGCACACCCAGGCCATCTCGGTTTATGTTCTCACGCCCTCAGTCGGTGCATTAGGGAACCCGAACTCGTCAACCTGCCCACCGATGTCGGAGGTCATACACGCTGTCAGAACAGGGCTCATAATGTCAGAAGACTTTCGCCAAATCCTTCGACGAGAACAAAGCATTCTGGAAAGACGCCGATTTTGGGGAAGTCAGAGTCCAAATACCGTCTTTGTCACAACAAAGCGCTGCTGCCGTGCAAGACCAGTCTCGCTTGCAATTCCGTTCATGAGGGGCGGGCATATACACCCACCTGTGGCCGTTCTGTTGTCGGCTGCGCGGGTCGGCCGGTTGGCGCGGCAGGCAGGCTTGCAAACGGATCCCCCCCTCCTTCCGACAAAGCATCTGGTTCTCTTTCTGGGGCGAGGTACGAAGGCACGGACTCACCAGCCTCCTCCCCCATGTCCATCTCTAAAGCGTCCAGCTCTGAACAAAAGAAATGCGGCCTCGGTATCCTGGATGCCATGAATAGACAAGGAGGGAGGCAACTAGGGGCAGAGACTGGACTCCAAAAATCTCACTTCCACAAGATAGATATCTTGCTACTCGGTCAGAGAAGCCCATGCCGGGCTGCTTCAAAGCTGCCACTTCGAACTTCGAACACACAGACCACAAAACAGTAAGGCGCGGCAACAACAGGTGAGAAGACGTCTTGACAAATCTATCTGTTAGCCTTTGGATCAAGACTGGCCCACAGATACAAATTGCCCTTACCTCCCATTAGGTCGCCCTCATCAATGTCGTCCGGAACGCCGTAGCTTCGTCCCATGGCGTCTTGAATTTCGGTGCTGTAGTCCATAAGATCCATCATGTCGTCTTGCAATGACTGCAGAAAGACACGCATGATTTAAGGTAAACATGGGAAGAATAAGAAGGCTTGTCGTGAGACGTTTTGCGCCGTAAACCTTAAGTTCAATTGCGATGTTCGAATGAGCGACTCTGACGCAAGTGGCAAACTCCAACAGAAGTGGTCGTTTCCAAACTTTGAATACAAGCACATGCGGAAATACCACAGCCTCAGAAACGAACCCCCACAAAGAGGACAGGCATTGCAACTGCCAGAATCGACCCACCTCGACGTCCTCAATTTTCATGGTCTTGTATGTCTGCTTCAGCTCCTTGTTCGCAGTCTTCATGGCCGCCATCTGAAACAACCAGATGCCCGTCAGTAAGGCTCCCGAAATCTTGGAAATTCTGCTTCTTAACTAGCAGGATCCTGAGAGGACCACTTGGACGGCAACCAGAGCATCGGTGTTCTCCAAGCATGCCAAACGTAAGGTACCCAGGCCAGATGCCTTCGGACGGAATAGAAGCATGCAAAGGTCCCCTCAGCCTACGACATTGGTTATGCCCACAATCAAGCGAGACAGGCAGCTGAACAAGCTGAGGAACAGCAAAACGGACAATAAATAAACGATTCAACTCACCGTTTGCTGAGCATCTTTTAGACCTGAATGCGCAAAGGAGACTTGCTCAAGATTGAATGTCTGGTTGTATAGATTGTCTCGCTGTCCCTCCAACCTGGCAGAACATACACTCACTGTTTGAGCTGCTGTCCATGGCGGTTCTACACCACATCAAGGACCATAAGCAACACGAGGGGGGAAATGCGGATTCACCTCCGTGTAGCTTCAAGAGGTGATCGACAAACTTTTCAGATTTCGTTAGCTTGATAGTAGGGGACGCAACAATCAAGCACGTATGACACAACCAGGGAGCAGGCAGCCATATTCTGTACAAACTACTCCAAGAAGTACCCCACCTTTTCAGCTCCAGGGCAGCCGAAAGCTGCTTAATGAATTAGCAGTCTGGCGAGTATTCTCTCTTAGTAAGTGGCTTGGGGCATTAGCAGAAAGTTGTAGAGGCTACAATTTCTTATCACAAAAGCACACCATGTTGTTTGCAGATGCAATTCCAAAGTGCACCCGTAAACCCTAATTCTGAACTTGCTCCTAGTGCCTATCAGCAAGTTCGAGATTAGGGTTTGTAAGTGCGTTTTGCCAACCCACCAGAAGGGGTTGCGAAGCTGAAACTTGCATGGAGATGGACTCACATCTTCTTCTGTTTTAAAACTCTCATTGCTCTCGCCTTGATTGCCTCCTGTGGTGGCCCTGGCCGTGTCCTCTTTATCTGGTCCCTGTACTTGACCAGCTCTGCCTCCAGCTTTCGAATCTTCTCATCGAGTACATCTCCGCGCTTGTTTATCTGCAAGAGACCATCATCCAACTCATTGCTGACATGTCAATCTACATGATAATAAGCACATAAACAAAGATGGGTACACCAAAATGGGAAGCACAGCAATCCCCTGTAACCAGAGAAACAAGAAAAGGAGTCTCACTGTTTCTGTAGTCTCTTCAATTGTTGGGCCTGGTTTCACCTCCTTTTTGACACCAAACATGCGCTTCATGGTGCCTTGCTTCTAGGAGATCACAAAACCCCCTTCTGGTCCTAGTGCAGATCTGTTGAAGGCGGTAAAACGAACCTCAAGGGATCCACTTCTGAGGACGTTTGGTATATCTTAGAAAAGCTTCTCCCAATTGTGTAGCGCCCGGCCCCGTTCGAAAGTGCAGTGCCCCTGTTGACTCTCGACTCAGAGTCAGAGTCAAGAGTGTGCCTGGAGCGGCGAGCCCCTGTCCACAGGCTAGT